ACAGTTGGATCCTCGGGTGCTGGTAGTTCTTCTGTCTCTACCAAATCCAAAAGATTATTTACTTGCAAAAAAGTCTCCATTTTAACAGCTCAAATGCAATAGTTTTCTCGTGGGGAAACTGGAGGTGTTGCCATGTAATTGTTTCCAACCATATCTGATTTACTTCTCACAGGTCCCTTAAGAAGTTATGCTCTGATACCAATTTATTAATTAATTTGATAGAAAATGAATAAAAACAGAAAGTTGGTTGGAAAGCTGATAATTCCTTTATTAACTTATGAATGTATTTATACAGGAAATTGTAATAAACATCAACAGAAAATCTCTTAAAATATGAAACAAAAAATCAAATATATGGCAAATCTATATTATTTTTGTTATTCGAGATAAATCTCTAGCAGTAAATATAGCATATTTCAACATACTTGCTCTTCAAGCCTGTAGAACACCAATTTCACTTCTTCATCAACTGCATCTCTGGTAAAGTGATGCTTGATTGCAATATGTCTGGTTCTATTATAAAAAATCTGATTATTTGTCATTGCATTTGTTATCACAAAGTACATCTGTGACTTCCTTTTGCTTTTCACCAATGTCTTCAAAAATACTTCTCAGCTAAAGTGGTTGAGAAGTGGCAAGTACATTTGATACATATTCGACTTCTGCTGATGATTAGAAAACTGATTGTTGCTTCTTTAGTGTCCAAGAAAACACACCTAATCCAATAAAAAATGTATAACCAAAGGTTCTTTTCATATGACCTACACAACCTCCCCAATCGCTATTACAAAAGACAATATACCTTTTTTCTGGAGAACTTCTGAAATATTGAATTCCATGACTCATGGTACCTTGAATGTATCTAAGAACTCTTCTTGCTACTACAAAGTGAATGCCACTTGAAGAGTGCATAAATCTTGAAAGCATGCTTACTACAGTGAGAGCAAATTTCCGATAAGACTTTTATAGTTATTGATTTACAGCTAAAGATTTTGAACTTTTCAAGATTTTCTCAACATATCTCCTCTGAAGTCAATACCCCTTCTTTATCTTGATAAACTTCAATTGAAAAAAAAGGGCATAGCTTCCCAAGTCATTTATTTCATACTTCATCATCATTTCTCAATCATGATAGCATTGCTTCAATCACCAAATCATCAACATAAAGTATCACAATGAAAATATCACTGGTGCCTTGTCTTTTCACTTACAATGTAGGCCCATTCTTACTCTATCAAATCATTTTTTCTTCAAAATAGCTGTCAATCTCACTATAACATGCTTTAGGTGGTTATTTCAACCCATAGAGAGCTTCATTTTTTTTTTCTTTTTTTTAGCTTGTACACATTTTCTTCATGGTCTTGGATGAGAAACCATCATATTTGCTGAACATAAACCTCTTCTTTCAACTCTCCATTTAGAAAAGCTGACATTACATTAAATTGATAAAACAATCAACCTATCTGAGCAACCAAAGAAGTAAGAGCTCTCACGGTATCAAGACGTGCTAAAGGAGCAAATGTTTCTTGTTAGTTAATACCAGGTAATTGTAGATAGCCAATAACAACTAACCATGCTTTGTTTCTTTGCATAGAACCATCTGAGTTGTATTTAACCTTGTATATCCACTTTATACCAATTACTTCCATGTCTTCTGGCCTATTAACAAGTTCTCATGTTTTTTCCTTCTCTATTATGTCAATTTCTTCTTCAATAGCTTTTTCCAAGCCTCTTCCTTTACTGCTTCATAAAAATTCTCTAGCTCCACAATGCAAAAATTACATCTTGCATAAATATTATTCAAGATTTTTTATCTTACTGGAGTTGAATTTTGCGATCATGAGCTTGAACTTGAAGATGATGATGTTAAACTTGAATTTGAAGATGATGGTGTTTATGGATAAGAGTTTCCAAAATTACGTTAATTTTCTTGAACTGCATTTTGTTGTGAAATAGTGACCGAAACAAATTGCTTTTTCTCATTACCTTGCTTCCAATTTCATTTAGGATTTTCATTGAATATGACATCTTCAGCGAATGATAATCTTGTTGGGTTTTCAAACTGTACAGCCTATAGCCTTTTGACATAGTACTATAACCAAGAAATATGCACTATTCAGTAGCCTCACCCAGCTTGTATTTTTTCTCCTTTGTTATTTGGGCATAGCAAAAACAACCAAATACTAAGGGTGTATTTGATATGGCTTGGAATTTCATATTCCAATTTTACCTTGTTTGATAGCATTTTTCCCCTAGAATTGGTTTTCCAACTATCTTGCCACATAAGCCAATTTCCACATTTTCCTTGAATTGGAATTCCAATTCTCGGTTACTGTAGCCGCATTTATTATTATTATTATTATTATTATTATTATTGGCAGTGAAAACAAATTCTAAGAATTATTGTAAAAAAATATTTCTCTTTAATTGACAATTTCAATATAAAACAAATCCAAATGAACACAAAAAGATAGATGATATTCTTGATTTTTTATTTTTTAGGCAATGGAAACAAATTTCATCCCCAATACTAATAAATTTTATCTCTTTAATTGATAATTTTCATATAAAACAAAGTTAAACAAACATTAAAAACACTTTTATTTCAATATTTTTCAAGTGAAAAATTATATCAGTTAAACACAATAATTTATAATTCTTTGAAGTTCGTTTTCTAGGCAATTTAATTTCATCTTTGCAATCAAACGGACCCTATGATGTTTAACTGACGGCTTTCTCCCACTCCAAGCTTTAAAAGGTGTTTGGTTCCACATAGCCTTAGCAGGACACCTGTTGATCAAATATATACTGCAGTATATACAACTTTTGCAAAAATGTTTTGGTAGTCCTCCATCATGTAACAATGACTTTGCCATTTCCATGACCGTTTGAGTTTTCTTTTTAGATACTCCATTTTGTTGTGGAGTGTCACCATGAGCTGTCTCTCCACACTTTCATCTTCATAGAATCAAATTTTAATTGAATGGCCACTTTGCTTTTCATCAAGGCATTCAGATTTCCTGAAGACTTCAAAAACTCTATTTTTATCTTAGAAAACAAACCCAAGTCATATGGCTGTAATCATCAATAAAGAGAATGAAGTTCCTATTTTTTGGAATGATAATGGAGTATGCATAGGGCCACAAATATCGGTGTCAGGAACTCCAACACTTCTTTTGCTCTCCAAGCCACTCCTTTAGAAAATGATTGTCTATGATGCTTCCCAATAGCACAACCCTCACAAACTTCATTCTGCTCTCAATGCTAGAAAGTCCTTGCACCATATTTTTCTTTTGCAACAACTTGCGGCTTTCAAGATTTAAGTGGCATCATCTTTTGTGCGACAACCATGGTTCATCAATCGCCATAGCTTTTAAGTTAATATCTCTTAAATATTTGAAATTCAGTGAAAAACATCTATAAGATCCCATTTTTACTTCAGCCATAACATTTTTTTCCTCTTCCTTGATCATATAATCATAACCAGGCTCCAAAAGTTGTCCAATGCTTAGTAAGCTTTTATCCAACTCAGAATGGAAGAAAACATCGCCAATCACTATTCTTCATTTCTCTGTGTCAACATCAATACTAGCTTTCTCTTTCACTTATACCACAGCACCATTGCACACCTTCACTTTGGAATTAAAAGTGGTATCCATGTTTAGGAAAACATCTTTCTTTGGGATCATGTGATTACTACATCCACTATCTGCGAATCAGACCTCATTTTTCTTTTCTGAGACATGTTGGCCTGCACAAAATAGATTTCTTTCAGCTTTCCTTATCATCATCTTTATCCTTGGTGAAATTTACTTGTTGGTTATTTTTTAATATACAATCTTTCTGCAATTTTCCAAACCTTCTACAATAGTAAAATTGAAGCTTCCCTTCGAACCATCAATTTTTTTTAAGATAACCAATTTTGCTACAGACATTGCACTTTTGTTAAAAAAACCCTCTCCACTTGTTCATCGATCAAAATTTCCTTTTTCCTCTTCCTCTTAATCCTCTAAAACCTCTTCCTTATCTTCCTCCACTAACAAAGACCCATCTGTCTTGATCTTGAGTTGGTTCATTTTCAAGCTTTTTGAGTTTACATTGAGCTTTGATTGGAAAACACTCTTTGATTTTTCTGAATGTTTAACCAAGCTTTGCTCATGAGATTTTAAAGAACTCAATAATACTTGCACTCTCCATTTCGAAATATTTTTAATTTCTTCTATAACAGCCACCATAAAATTAAATTTCCCAGGCAAACTTTTCAACAACATCACAACTATTCTCTAAGCTGTTATCTTTCCACCATTTATTTTCATTTGAACGATCAATTTCAATTTGAATAATCATTTACACTTTCATTTTGTTCCATTTTCATATTTTCGATATCCCTTCTAAGATTTTGAAGTTTGATTGTTCTTACCCTTTTATCCCATTGAAATTCTTCGTGAAGTGTCTGCCATGCTTCCTTGGATTTTTTTGCTACCATGATTATTGGGAAAATATCTTAAGACTCCTTCTGAACCATCCCCTGAGTTATCTTTGCTCTTTTTATTCTTCAACTTATTCTTTTGAGCTTCACTTAAATCTGCCATAGATTTCGGGATTTCATATCCTGATTCTACATTCTCTTGTAGATCAAGAGAATTGAAGAAAGTCTTCTTCTAGATGCTCCAAAAATCATAGTTATCTCCTATAAATATTGGAACTTGAACACTAATCCAACTCCCTCCTTTTTAAAATCCTTGCTGCTAAATCTTAGTTGCAAATGAATGAAAATAGAATCTGGAATGCTCTGATACCAAATATATGTTGGCTGAGATTGCAGATTCTGGTATTACAGCGCTGGTTTCAAGTGTATGAAAGCAGGAGAAAATTTATACTTCACAAATTCCACTCGTATAAAAGTAGTGCAATAATGTTTATGCTATATGAAATAGGGAAAATCACTGCAACAACCAACAGATTACCAACAACAGGGAAAATAGAGATGAACGAGAGAATGGAGAAGTAACAAAACTATTTCTTTCTTCGCAAGATTTCAAATATAATTCTCCTCTTTTTGGTTTAGGGCTTAAAAAGACTATTTATACAGACTCCAAACTACTCCACAATTTACATTCTTAGCCCTCATTTTTTTTACACATACTTTGTCTTTTCTACAATAAAACGCATTACACAATTAATATTTAAGTCCCTGGTTCAAATGGAAACAGTTATACTGTGATTACTATCTTGTTCAACCTGTATTGTTTTATGGGAAAAAAGAAGAAAGATGAGTGAAATACTTGGGAAAGTTTTGAGTTCAAGCTCATTAATAACTTTCGTGATCCTGAGCTGGAAGATCTTGAGCTGGAGTACTGATCTTTTTCACAACCCTCCAAGCAATTATCGCCATGGTTAAACCATGTTTCATCTTTGTCGTGCTCCAGACTCCTTAAAACATTTTCAAGCTTCATTACAACTTCAATCATCGTAGGCCTCTCCTCATATCGTTCTCTTAAGCACATCTCTGTCAGCATTGAAACTTCTTTCAACTGCTCAATCTTAACCTCCGTCACCAAAGAATGTTCAAGAATTTCAAGCATGCGATCTCCTTTCACTGCAGAAATGAAATACTCAGCCAAAAACTCTTCTCCTTTTGGCCTGTCAAAGTTTAGCACCTCATCACCAGTCAATAACTCGGCTAGTATAACACCAAAGCTGTACACATCACTCTTTTTGCCATCTGTACCCAACAATCCTGTAAATGAAGGAAACGCTATTTTTACCCTGAAACCATGGTCTAGTAGTATGTTGGAGCTATTGATGTTTCCATGAATAATTGGTGTTTTGGCGCCAGAATGCAAGTATGAAAGGGACCTTGCAGTTTCAGTGGCTATCTTTAGACGACGTTCCCAGGAAAGAAAAGAAAACTCATCATGAATAGAATCGTACAACGTCTTGTCGGCATAGAACTCATAAACCAATAAGGGAACTTGTGTCTCTAAACAACAACCAATCAGTTTTACCACATTCATGTGGTCTATCCATGAAAAATTGACCAATTTACCAATGAAATCCCGAATCTGGATTGGATCAATTTTTTCACATCTCTTTATGGTGATAATTTTGTTTACTCCATCTTCAAGTAAAGTTCCTTTGTAAACTGGTTCATTTCTATCTCTATGGAAGACTCTACTTTCATTGTAGTTTTCTGTAGCCTTGCTGAGATCTTCTGCTGTGAAGACTTTACATCTTTTCCTTCTTAATAGCATTTTTTCTAAAATCAATCCACCATTTCCCACAAACAATTCCTGCCTTATTTTAGCGACTTTCTTTTTCTGGCTTCTCCAAAATATCCATGAAATTCCAATGGCAGGAAAAATGAGACCTGTTTAAAAATTGGAAAGATCTCTGTCAAATTTATTTATAATCAAGATTTCCTCTAAACACTACCAAATATACCTCATACTCAAGGGAAAAAAAAAAAAGAGAGAGAGAGAGAAGGGATTAAAATTTTGTCTGTCCCTGCTCTCAAATGGTCCCTAAACTTTTAAGTTTGAACACTTAGTCTTCAAACTTTATAATATTTACCTCATTAGTCACTGAAATCAATTTTGTCCACAGAAACTAATGGAAGGCAACACCATAGTTGAATCAGACAACACAAAATAGATTTTACAATAAAGCTGCTCATCCCGGGATTGAATCCAGGGCCTGATTTGATGTTGGCGGGCCCCATGTGATGTAAGATCGAGGGCCGAGGTGGCAACACCTAGGCCCTAGAGCCAAACCCGGGATTTAAATCCGGGTTGTGCAGCAGAATTGTAGATTTTAACCCTCAGGTTTAAGGTCCACCGTTATTCTGCATAGGCATACCATGAGCCAAATCAAACTTACCAATAGTTTAGACCCACAAAATCGATTTCAGCAATCAACGTGCAAAATTCCTATAATTTAGGGGATGAACAAGTTTTTTAGCAAAACAAAAAACAAAGGAGCATACCAAAAGCAATAAGGGGAAAGATAGGGAGCTTAGTTTGGTCTTTGGGTTGTAGACCACCATCTTTCTTTGTACGAAAATTCTGCAATTTAGACGAGAGGAGCTCCAGGATGGTGCCATTTATTGAACCGCACTTGTTGTAACAATCTAAAGCCACGGAAGCTGCAATTCTAATGTTTCCACCGAGTGATCTGTGAATAAGTTTATGTTTCCGGAATTTTACAAATGGCTTGGCGTTGCAAGTAATAAAGCGAGAATCTTCATCAAGATGACAGTTGGAGCTAATGTCAGATGTAAAGGCGATTGGGATATCTAGACAACTGGGTGGACACTCTGGAACAGGCTCTGATGCTAAACTAATAGTTGGCACCATTACCATTATCGCAAACATCAGTTGCAAAATTGTTGCGCAGGAATTCATTTGTATGTGTGAAATGATTTTCTTTAACTTGCTTTTCAAGTGAAAACTTTTATGTGCTATGGGAAAATTTGCACCCTTTTTAATAACACCAAAATAGAAAAGTATTGATAGATTGGAAAGTATTATGAAATTTCATGTCTTGAGAAATTTTAAGCCAATTGCAAAAAGAACGTTATCTTGTGAAGGCAAAGGCTGCAGTTTCCTGGAATCTGCCTGCCTGAAAATTGTTAATTAAATGTCAAAGGTTGAATCATTGCTAGTTTAAACACAAAATTTATTTGATTAGTGTGCTTACATTATTATTTACAAATCTATATTCTACTTATGCTCATATTATTAAGAATAAAAGTTGAATTGTCAAAAGAGATATATCTTAACAGGTCAGGGAACAAAAACTTACCCGTACACTGACGCCCACAAAGGCATAATAATAGTGGATGTACAAACGAAAAAATAATACTGGATGAAACTTCTAAGAAGCTTCCTGATTCAATACACACATGTTAGCAGTGGAATTTACAAAAACGTTTTAATAATAGTGAAGAAACTACTACAAGAACTTCAAGTCTTGACATTTGAGAGTCAATTGCACAGTCAGTCAATGATCACTGATCACCTGTCCTGTGGACAAGGGCTGTAGTTTCCTGGAAACTGCCAGTATGGAAATGTAGTACTCAAATCACTTTAAAGAACTGTACAATTTCTTCATGAGCAGCTTCCAGGTTAGTTCTTCCCTCTCTCTCTTAAATCTTATGATCCTACATTAATTCAAACCTTCCAGTTTAGTAACTCTTTTTCTGCAATAGGTTCACGACCTATTGGGATTGGATTCTAGTTAACAAATGGAAGAAAGGAAGAATAATCTGGGAAAACTAATAAATAAACACAATGATTTATCGATCAAAATTAGAATGTTACCAGTTAACTTTAAAGAGTGAAAATGAACAACATATAAAATTGAAATTCAATTGTTGCTATAGGCCAAATAATAGAGAAACAAATTAGGTTATATTAATTCTTATCAATTAATATTATGATGAACGAAATGGAACTGACGATATCTACGTAGGAACAGGGACAGACCCACTAATGGATGAGTGGGGTCTGCCGCCCCCACTGAATTTTCAAAAACCTTCAATTCGACCTTGTTAAATTTAAATATTCAGATTTTTTTTTATTTTTTTCGCAATTTATTTTAGCTTATTTTCCGTCTCGCCTCTATTGAAGAATAATTCTGGGCCCACCTCTGCATAGGAACTTATGCACAGCAACATTTACCAATATTAAAGGATCATAATCTGAATATATGCTTTTGCAGAGTTTGTTGGTATTCCTCTCTTTCTAACATGCAGAAATTCTATTTTTTGCAATTATGTTTGCATTTACAGAAAAAAATAGTCCTTGTTTGATTTGAGTGATTTTTCAAAACTAGCATTACTCTACAACTTTTCTTTAGTTGTAAAAAAATTGGATATTGATCGTTTCGCTTCATTTTAGTAAGAAATTTTTCCAGATCATTTCAGTATTGGCATTACACCCACACACAAGAAAATATTTACTCCCAAGGTTTTGATGGTCAAAGAACAGCTCCCACTGGGAAGAAAAATGCAATTTTATCTTAGCATTTGCTGAGCCAAGGTAGGGCATGGTGGGTCACATGCCCCACAAGATTTTTCACTTTTTTTTTTTAAATGAAAAAATGCCATATTTTGGTCAAATTTTGAAATTTTAGTCAATTAATAAAAACACGGTCAAACATGACGAGTCAAAAGAAAATGAAAATGTCAAGAAAATAGGTGAAAATCTTCCATGGGGCGGTCGCACCACATGGACGGTGCGACCACCCAATGCCGAGGTGCCACCTCGACGGGTGGCCCACACACCTCGGGGGTGTTTGGTGGGCGACCCGATAAGGTGGCGCACCATGATAAGGCGGTTGACCGCTCCATGAAAGATTTTCTCAGAAGATAGGAAGTGTGTTGGTGGGACCGCTTTAAACAATTTTCTCAACATTTTATATCCTATTTCACTGTCACTGATCTCAAAATTTATTCAAAGAGGTAAAGAAAAATGGAAGGAAGAACTTGCCCCAATCATACACCTCAAAAATGAAGCCAAGTTTGGAAAGATCATTTAGCTTGACTAGACGTTTGCTCTCAATGACATAATTTATGTCATGTTAATATGGACTTTTTTTAGTATTTTTTTCCTCAATACCAAGCATAACAAATTCAGAAGCCACTTTTTCTCATAAATGTTGCCTCCATACTCATGGCCATGGAAGGTCAGTAAAGTTCTCATCTGGAATGGATGAAATTGATAAGTCCTGTACTAAATTTGCATTTGTGTTTTAAGGTTTATCATTCTCTGCAAGGATCATGGCTCAAAAGAAACTATATTTTTGTCTTTATCAACTTGTTCAATTTAAAAGTTTGATTGTGCTCCCAACTCAAAACGTCTACATCTGCCTTCATTCTTTTGACTTGAAATTCCTGGACTTTTCCCACATGATCAATCGCCCGCACCATTTCACCATATATACCTCAAAATAGAAGAAATTATTATAGGAATTAAAGGTGTTGAAGAACCTCTGTGGGAAAAACACGGCAAGCATGTGAATCAATAACGACTCATATGTACCATTTTTTAAAAACGAAAACGCAAATGGAAACACATAAATTTAGCAAACCTTGTTAAGAAACAAGAACATATGTATGAAAATTTAGTTACCACACAAATGAATCAATCACTTGCCAACCATTACAAACAAATGACAGCAGAGATGGAAACAGATGCAATTGAAGTGATAGGAAATGTACGAGAAAAATAAATACAAAAGCAGAATGCTCAAACCAAGGCGGACCAATGAACATTAACCACAAAAATACACAAGCCAGAAGAAAAATTGAAAGAAGAATTTATATTATCGTATGAATATTGTCAAAATCAAGAAGAATCACACACAAAAGAATAAAACCTCAATTGAAGTATTATTGTTCGCCCATAATTTCAAATGTATCAATCCTTAAATATATCTTAAACGCACTGTTCTTTCAAAAGAATCATCATTATCAAATTAGATGACAGCTCTAGACAAGCAAGTACAAAATTTGGATATTTCAATTTTGAAATTCTCTACTCTTCATCTCAGGTACATTCAAACCCCAAAAAAAACAAGAATAATGCTAGTCAGTTAGGGACAAAAATAGGGATTTGAATTTTCGCTGACGTGGCACTTATTGCACAATTTAAAAAAAAAAAAGAAATAGAAAAAACTTTAAGAAAAAAAAAAAGAGAGAAAAAAAACTAAAGAAAGAAAACAAAAGGGGCAAAACCAAAAGTGGGAAATCAGAAGGAAAGAGCTAATGTTCCAAACCCTCCCACCCTCTTGCCGCCCTGCCTTGGCCGACTAGAGCACTCATCCCCAATCGGAGCACCCTTCGTTGACAAGTATACCGGTAGTCCTTTCATCTCCGACCGTTTTATGCTACATGTTGCTGCTAATCCCATCAGTTGGTTTGCTTGAAAATGCATAATAAAATTATTTTTACTTGTTCATCCAAATACTGAGCATAAACCCCATTTTTGTGTGTGTATAAGTACTTAATATTTATTCAATAAATTCCTAAACATGTAATTAAAGTACAGGTGATTCTTGTGGATGGAGAAATTCAGGCAAACAAAATTGAAGCTTCGTTTTGCATTGTGATTTAACTTGTTGATGCCAGGGATGAAATCAATGGCCTCATCAATGTGAAAGTTGTGAATGATATTAATGCTTGATATACCATGTATTTGTTGGAAATTTACTTAAACTTGCGCAGTTAAAATAAAAGCAATTTAATTCCCATCAGGATTCATCTTTATATTTAGATATGAATTGTGATAAAAGTTGTACATTTTCTTGGATCTGCAAACTCCTTTGCTTTGTCTTTGTTACAGCAACTTAGATCTGCCTCCCACAACTGTCTAATTGTCTAGCCTCTAATGAATTCCACACAGAGAACAGATTGCAGCCACCAGAGTTTTCTCCTCTTGTGCTAGCAAGAATTATGAGATTCCCCTACTAAATTGAAAACCCTAGTCACGTATTTATACAAGTCCAAACGGATTTGGCCTGACTCAGTCCAATATTTAATTAATTCATTTAATTAAATCCGGTCCATAAATTAATTATCTAATTAATCAATTTGGGCCTATAAATAACCAACCCAATTAATTAATATATGCAATGATTGTTAAATTAATTAATTAGCAAATTGCAATCTTTCAATTATCTTTTGTGTGCGACCCATCAAGTTCCCGATCATGATTCCTAACGACGTGAAATATTATTTTGATTTAATTAAAATTGATAAATTAAAACACCATTTTAATTTATCACCAATTCATACTCGCCGTCCCAGATTGACATATAGCAATGTATTAGAGCAATACATGTGACGGGAAAATGTCACATGGTATGACAAAATCAAACTTGTTCGTTTACTGTGAAACTATAATCCATTCGTCAATATGATCCGATCAATTACGAGATATGAAAGTGTGTCAATCTCAATTATCGATCATATCTTTCACTCCAACATTAAGTCAATATAAGTCAAAAACTCCTTGCCGACTTATGAGTACACCTTGGCCAAGGATTTCGTTATCGACTCAACTGGATGAAATGCAGATCATAATTTCTTACTATCTAAGAGTGACGAATCCTCTATTGGTCATTCACAACCTTCATATGATTCTTGACATGCGTGAACGATGCTGTATTAGCGGTTCTTTGCAAAGCAACATCTAACACCGTCAAAGTATGATTGTCCCCATATAAGGCACTATAATGACCTCAAGTCAAAGGACCAATTTCACTACCGAACGTTAGAGATTAACCACTGACACTCAAATAGTTATCCATGTGGAATCTCTCAGAGGGTTTCCAATGTTTTGTTCTGTAACAAAACATCCACGTGTTCATTCAAGTATCACCACACGTTAGCCTGTGAGATCAGCTACTTACTTCACAAGTAAGAAATGCCACAGTGATGGTCTATCCGTAAAAACGAT